AGCCGTAAGGGATAACGGTAACATAATACGCTGATCGTGGGCTGTGTACGATCGTGGGCTGCGTTCATTCATTTAAATGAACATTATTTATAAAACAAAATATCTTCTTTGGCCATATTAGCCTACTCAATAGCAATTAACACAGGCTTTACTCCTTTCAAACTTTATCTGGAATGTCACCGTTTCTGTCACTGCAACTTCAAAATATGTTTGCTGCGTAAATCAGACGGACTTACTGAAAATGGAGGTGCTTTAAAGCGGGAGAAACAGGTTTCCCCGGTAACGGCTGTACACAAAACAGCGCTGAGCTCACAAACGCTGCTTTATCAGGCATATAACATGCAAGATGAAATGAAAATGACATCGAATTTTTTCCTTCAGAAATACAGTGATATAAAAACACCCGCGCCTCGTTTTGATTTTTAAACGTGCAGTGCTAAGCGCCACAAATAAATAAATGTATGGGAAACACATCCCACAGCACAACCACCTGAGCCTTCAGTCTACTCATCACCTTAAAGGCTGATTTATACTTCTGCGTCGAACCTACGCCGTAGCTTACGCATAGACGCACACCCATACCCCAGTAGCCTGACGTGCACCTCTCCAAAAATCTAACAGCGCGTCAATTCTACGCAGACCGCAAGCGCTGTGATTGGTCTGCAAGAACCCCTCCCTCCATATGTACTTGAGTTTTGTGTGTGTTTATGTGCACTTTAATATATTTTAATGTTACACCTTCTTATATAAAATAAAACAAAGCAAAGAACAAGTGTCTTATCATTTATTATACTACATAGCATTATACATCAGTAGTTGTCCGCAACAAACAATGTTGATCTGCCGTGGTACAAGTCCTTGTGCAGATTGAAAGAATGCCATCATCTCCTGTTCCGTTGTTGTCTCCTTTTTGTAGTTTTAAATAATGATTTGATATTTATTTGCCGCCGTCACGGCTATAATGCTTCTCCGACGAGCCGCTTCTTCTTCGGCTTTTGCCGTGGTACTGCGGGTTACACCAGCAACATGCCCGTGGACACTGCTGACTAGCGGTTTGCATGTGTACTGCACGTTGACGCGGACAACCGACGCAGAAGTATAAATGAAAACTGACGCATAGCCTACGGCGTAGGTCCGACGCAGAAGTATAAATCAGCCTTAACTTTAACTGCGTTTGTAGCCGGCGCCATAGCCAGACTGATAAACAAACACAGACCGGAAGTTAACTTCGGGCCAGGCGCGTGCGCCCGATAAAAAGCTTGAAGCATCAGAATCGGCATCGGTATCGGCCGATCACCATGACAAGAAATCGGCTGCAAAAGTATCGGCTGCAAAAATCCTGATCGGGGCATCCCTAATGATTACAAATGTGATATTGATATTTTACAACAGTTCAAAAAAACAAGTTAATTAAGAGACTTGCGCTTTAGACACCATATTTCCTGTTTTTGTTCTATTTTGCCAACAAAAATAATTCCAAACAAAGCCGCAACATCGAAGGTGTTTTGTTCCTGAATGAATCAACCGTTTAAATGATTCAGTTCAGTCGCAATGACTCACTTATTAACAGTGACTTGCTGCCACCTACTGGCGGTTTTAATTTCACATTTAAAGTATCTTTTCATTTTTTTAAATAATTTCAAATATCAGTATTTAACGTTTTGTTTAAAATATCAAAACATTATTTATGCATTTGTAACTGCAGGTTAAATGCATTCATGTCCTGCATTAAACAGTGTGTAAATGCATCTAAATGCCTCTTCAGATGCAGCTTCTGTGTTTTCTCTGCATTGCAAAGATGAATTTTGTTTATACTGATTTCATTTGCCTGGTAACATCCCAAATGTCTTATTATTCTAACTCACTGATTAAATGTAAGAATTTGACTTAAAAGATGATGGATAAAAATGGCTTTTATAAAGGTAAAAATGCCCATCAAATGTAAAAATCAATTAAAACTTATTGGAAAAGATACATTTCCATCACTGCTGTGAACTGACCCGCACACAGAATATGAAGAATATCAAAAACTTTAGGAGTCAAGCTGTCCACGCTCCTGGACACACACTCAGCAAAATATTGTCTAATTATCGTTATCGATAAAATCCCAGGAAATATCGAGATATTATTTTTTGTCACTATCGCACACCACTAATACTGACTTGTCTTTCGCTCTCTTGAGGTGGAGGGTCTGCTGGATCTGCTGTCTGTGAGTGGGCCGGGGCAGCTGGAGGCTTTGGGTCTGGAGCGGCTGAAGAAAGAGCTGATGGAACGAGGGATGAAGTGTGGAGGAACGCTGCAGGAACGGGCTGCGCGTCTGTTCTCCGTCAAAGGACTGAGCCCAGATCAGATTGACCCTGCGCTCTTGGCCAAACCCACCAAGGGCAAGAAGAAATAGCTTGCATATCTTAAACCACAGTGTTTTTAACCCATTTTTGTTTGGCATGTGTGTAGTTATGTTTAAAGTGTTGTTTGTAAAAATCTAACACCTAATTTAGAAAAACCCCCAGTTTGGGACAATAATGATGCTAGATTTTTTATTATTTTTTTTTATTATATTGACATTACTGGTCAGATACAGATAACAATTTGGATTGAACTTTAAAGTTGAACTTTAGTCAACAATATATGGCATTTTATTAGTTTTTTTTTGTCTTTTTGTCTATTAGAAAAACATGCCATGTAACAAAAGGTGAAACTCCGGTTAACTTTTTTGTAATCTGTACAAGAAATTCTTTATGATAATTCAGTCACAGTAAATAGTTTTTTTTTATTCATACAGAGACATTCTGGTAATCAGTCATATGTTTATGATGTGGGTGGGAAGTCATTCAACGATTCATCAATTGTCCAAAAGATTGTTCATATTACACAGTATTTGATTGTATATGTGATCTGGTCCATTTTCCTCGACTTCATTATTATTAAGTAAAATATTGTTGCACAATTTTGTGCCCTGTTTGTTGCTCTTATTACTCTGTATCATGTATCTTTAGTGTATAAGAATGTGAAAATAACATTTTATTAGAAAAATACATACACAACATATTTGGTTTCTGATGCAGAATAGGGTTTTATAAATATTGTTGTTGTGTAAATATAGATGCATTTTCCATCAAATGCACTTATAACTGATTACGATAAAAAGCATAAAACTAAAAATACACACAATGACATCAAATTATGCAAACAAAAATGATTTAGTGTGCTGCCTTATCAAGATTTAGGGAACTTTCGTATGTACTCCGAAACAGCAAATGGCGATATTGATACCCATACTGCTTCAACACATTCAGCTGAAGAAAACGCTGTTTTCATGCAGTTTGCGGAGTAGTTCTGGGTTTGTCGTAGTTTTACCGTTTTAAATGTCCACATTATGTATATTTTTAGTATGTATCTGAAGCTGTGGTAATAGTTATGGCGTTTCCGCAGCCGCGTCCTCAAGCGCCTCAGTTGCCGCAGCATCTTTTGCGAACCGTAGAGTGTCAACAGGGTGCTGTGAGAGCCGTGCGCTTCAACGGTAAGTCCATATTATTATCCACATTATATTGTCTATATCAATTGTTGTCCATATTATTATTATTAAATGAAAAATGTTACCAGTAGTTATTCTCAAGAAGCTAAAAAATATGTTTTTATTGGCTTTGATAGAGACCTTTACACCAACAGTGTAAAAATGTTCAACCTAAAAGAGTACCTGGCATCAAAAGAAGAAGAAAAAAAAATCTATAAAATACTTTTTAAAATCCCTCTCGTAATCACAGGATTCGTGACTAAAGCGCTGAGAAAAGTAGGTACCACATGATGCTGCTGTGCATTATGTTATGACCAGAGTTGGGCAAGTTACTTCCAAAATGTAATACATTATATATTACTAGTTACTGTCTTTTGAAAGTAATTAGTTACGTTACAATATTACTCTCTCTGAATTGTAATGCGTTCCGAGTCCCGTCGGATTGCATCGGCTGTGGGGATGAAGACCACAACTCCCATGATTCCACACTCAGTCACGGCTTCATCAAACTACGCCTTTGTCTATTTGTTTATTTTGAATACGCGCCCTCCAGCGGCGAAAATTACATATTGTGCCTTTAAAGTAGACCTTCTTTACTGAATAATGAAATTGTTCTTCTCTCTATATATTGCATGCTCTTCCAGCTGATGGGAATTATGTGCTGACCTGCGGCAGTGATAAATCTCTGAAGCTGTGGAGTGTGAGTCGCGGGACTCTGCTGAAGACTTACACCGGTCACGGATATGAAGTGCTGGACGTGGACAGGTACGTATTTCTGCGTTACATTTGGTAACACTTTATTTTGCTAGTCCACTTTAGACATACTAACTGTAAGTAACTTTGCAGCTACATGTCAACTAGCAGTCATTAGAGCATTAGTAGACTTTACATTGATGGGTCCACAACATACAACAGACTATGAGAAACTTCGCAATTATATTATTCGACTAACCCTAAACCTGTCTACTCTGAGAGTTAGTAGACATGTAGCTGCAAATTAATGAGTATTAGTTGACATGTAGTTGCAAAGTTACTTATAGTTAGTAGAATGTTTAAAGTGGACTATCAAAATAAAGTGTAACCTTACATTACATTAAAATACCATCGCTTTTGTGTTTGGTTTGCGTTCATTTTACTTACTTTTCGCAGTTCTTATGACAACAGTCAGCTGTGCTCCTGCAGCTCGGATAAACAGTCATCCTCTGGGATGTGGCGTCTGGTCAGGTGACTCGCAAACTTCGCGGGCACGCCGGGGTGAGACGGTTACAGTTGCAAAATTTCCCGCCAAAATAGTCTAGGGATGGGCGATACCGCTTATTTTGTTTTTGATACGATAACGATACTTTTGTACAGTGTTGGGGGTAACTCATTACAAGTAATGCGAGTTACGTAATCAGATTCCTTTTTTCAAGTAACTAGTAAAGTAACGCATTACTTTTTTAATTTACAAGAAAATATCTGAGTTACTTTTTCAAAAAAGTAATGCCAGTTACTTTGTTTTCCCATTTATTGACTGACAGGTCTCCTGTCCCCATATTGGGAGAAATCGGGAGTGCAGAGGCGTTGTGTGCGCTGTGTGAACATGATGTTACTGTAGTTCTAGACTAAATGTGAATGTGCATTAATTCATCCCACTCACAAAAAACAGATTTAGTATTCATCAAAATTAATTAAAACAGTGAAATGCAAACTCAGAATATGACACAAACCTGCAATAATTAATTATGTTAAATAACACAAATGTATCTAATCCCATTTTATTAACCAATGTCTTTGCTGCTGACCTTTGATGATCCAGTTCAACCATACTAATAAGCAAAAATGACTTTAGATAAACTAACAATTTTGCTTCATTGCTTTTTTATTGCTGAAGAGTGTTGAACCTTCTCCTGCGTTCTACTGTACAGACGTGAATTTACTTTTGCTTCAGCCTGAGGTTTATTCATTACCGTTTTTGGTGTTAAGGGCTTTTACATTTGCTATAAATATAACTTCTTATATTAAAAACAATCAAGCCCTGTTTATATTTAAAAAGTAACGCAAAAGTAATATAACGCATTACTTTCCATAAAATGTAACGAAGTAACGTAATTAGTTACTTTTTTAGGGAGTAACGCAATATTGTAATGCATTACTTTTAAAAGTAACTTTCCCCAACACTGCTTTTGAAGGCCAGTATTGTCATATTGATATCGATACTGATATGATACTTCCAGTGTTGGGAGTAACGCATTACAAAAGTAATAATATTACAGTAGTATATTACTTTTTGCTGTAACGCCGTAATATAACGCATTACTAATCAAATTTGGGTAATATTATTACTCGTTACAATCTCAGTCTATATAGACCTACCACGTTACCCTCCACTGGATGTAGAATGAGCAGCATTAAACTACATTTTGGCATTTTACAATACTTATGTGGATATTTTGGATGAAAGTAACTCAAAAGTAACTCAAAAGTAGTGTAATGCATTACAATTCAGAGACAGTAATATTGTAATGTAACTAATTACTTTCAAAAGACAGTAACTAGTAATATATAATGTATTACATTTTGGAAGTAACTTGCCCAACACTGGATACTTCTAAACTGAACTTTTAAATTATGACATTTATTAATTTATTAAATTACTATGAGTAAAATGGGTAATAATACCCACTTACCTTTCTATTTGAAATGCATTTTAACATTCAATATGCCTTAATTGCATTAGGTTAATTTTTTGTGTATACATGGTTAAAATATGCTTACTGTAGTGGTAACCATGGAAATCTACAAATACTATAGTTGAACTACAGTCACTTTAGTAAAACCATGGTTCATTTTCATAAGGGACGGCCAGTGACAGGCGTTCATAAAATGCAACCTTTTTATTCTGACAGTGTATGTATTTATAGTAACATTACAGAATAGAACATGATCAATATGAACTTTTAACATTCATTTGAAATAAATGTAATAGCACAAAGTAGGCTACAATTTAAATTTGTTTATTGTGAAATAACTCAAACATATATGTTTTTTCTGTCCTCTGATAAGCATTGTTCAGGGCTGCCGTTCCCAACTGCTTTAATGCTTTCTTACGATACTTTTGGGAAAAGCAGCCCTGTTTGAATGTACTGCCAGAAGTGAGTGAACGCTCTCTGTGATTGATTAGTTCTGTCTTGCAATATTTGCGTGCGTTCAGATGAGCAGGAAAATAGTTCTATCCTACACAATTATTCGCTAACCTAGGTTATTCGTCCAATTTAATGCATATTGTATGCATTATTTTTTTGTTAAATAAACAAAATCACTGGTAAATAAAACACACCTTATTATCGATATTTTTTATTTGAGTATCGATGCTTTTAGTACACGCATTAGTATTGATATATCGATACTTCAGGATCGATACGCCCATATCATACTGCATTTATTATTTGCTTTCGCTAAGACAAGTCTCACTATTGCAGTATATTATTGTAAATAAATCTAATACATTTTATATAGGTGATTTGTTCGCTAAAATTGCCTTATCTATCTTTCGCTCGTTCCCTAGAAAGTAAACTGTGTGCAGTTTAATGAGGAGGCTACTGTGATGCTGTCAGGTGAGTCAGACTTGGCTTTTATCATAAATGCTTATGGAAATAACAACAGTCGAATCTCGATCTCACTATTTCTTTGTGTTTCAGGCTCCATTGATTTGGACCGTACGGTGTTGGGACACTAGATCCAGGCGGATGGAGCCGATCTAGATCCTGGACGAGGCTCGAGATGGGATCAGCAGCCTGAAGGTTTCGGAGCATGAGCTTTTGACTGGGTCAGAACCAAACTAAGGTTATGATGTTGGAATATGAGTAATCTGAGGTTTGGATTTATAGAAGTGACTGTAGTTTGTTGTACTGTATATCAGGTCTGTGGATGGAAGAGTGAGGCGATATGACCTACGAATGGGGCAGCTTCATGTCGATTTCACTGGGAGTGAGTTATATCACACACATGAGGCAATGAGAACATGCTTTTTGTACTGTGTGATGTCTAACGCTCCTGTTGTGTGCTTCACAGGTCCCATCACTTGTGTATGTTTCAGTCGGGACGGTCAGTGCACACTTATCTCTAGTTTGTCTAGTTAGCCTGCTGGACAAAAGCTCAGGGGAGATGCTGGGAGAGTATGTGCAACACAGATCAAACTACTACATAACTACAGTAAAACTTTTCCGACGAGTGCTTGCGGTGTTCGGCCAATCACAATGCGCTGGGTCAGCTGGCCAATCAGAGCAGACTGCGCTTGTCAAAGGAGGGGGCTTTGTTGAAAACGACACGCTTGAGAGAGGCGGGGCATAAAGGACCTACAATAATGTACAGTATTTGAAATATAATGTGTTTTTTGAACATTAAAGCATGTCAACATATTCTGTTACACCAAATACACAAAATAATGATCTTTAAAATAGCATCATATGACCCCTTTAAAACTAGCAATGCTAGATGCCACAAGTCAAGAGTAGGGAGAACCTTGAGTGCTGTTTAAAAACAAAAAGAAAAAAATCAATAAACATGTTAATTCAAAACTAAAAATGGAAATAGAGACATCACTTTGACAATTAACAAAACAATATGTACATTTAAAAAACTTAAAAGTTGAACGTAACAGTAGAATAAATAATAAAATCGCTTTTTAATTTGACAAATTATTTAATTTTAAAATTAAAAAGCATGGTTAAATGTAACATTAAAATAATGACTTTTCAAAATTACAAATAAATATGCATCTTCAATATCAGAGTAAAATAAATTAATAAATTACTTTTAAAAACAACAAATACATATGCATATATAAAACTGTTTATTTAATTCAAGTTTAAAAGCATTGTTAAACAACAATAAAATTAATAAATCACACTTCAGATTAACAGCGGAGTTAAACAAGAGAGTAAATTAATAAATAATTTTTCAAATTATTCAAAACTATTTATTTAAATTGTAGTTAAACATGACAGAAAAATAAATGAAATCTCTTTTTAAATGGACAAATTAAGAGATGTTTAAAATTGTTTATTTAATTAAAAAAATGTAATTAAACATGAAAGTAAAATAACTAAATCATATTTAAAGTTAACAACATGCATATTTAAAACTATTTTGAAAAGTGTAGTTAAACGGAACAGTCAAATAAATTCATATTTCAAACTTGAGAAGTAAATACATTTCTAAAACAGTTTAATTTATGTTAAAAATGTAAGTTAAAAGGAACAATAAAATAATACACACATTAATCTATTATTTCCAGTCCTCTATACAATTGCCATTTCAATGTTCATGTTATAATGTGTGTGTCTATGGTGTTCCTTCACAGGTACTCCGGTCATGTCAATAAAGGCTATAAGCTTGACTGCTGTCTGTCTGATAAAGACACACAGGTTCTGAGCTGTTCAGAAGATGGCCATGTTTACTTCTGGGATCTGGTGGAGGTGGGCAGAATAAGTCACATGACCCACAGAAAAAAATACTATGATAAAATGTCGCGTGTTTGTTTTGGTGATTTCAAATATCAACATTGGCTACCAGAAATCACTTACTCTGCCTTTAAATATGAGCAATAAAGCTGTCATCCTGTAATCTCTGCTTGTAGGGCTCCCTGACTTTAAAACTGACTGTTGGGAAAGCTGTTGTCCTATCACTGTCCTTCCACCCAACGGAGCCCCGCCTTTTGACTGCTATGGAGGGGCGTGTTCAGGTGTGGTGGGCGGAGCCAGAGGATGCAGCTGTGGAAGACAGCGGAGTAGTGAACACCAAACACATGAGCAGTGTGTGAATCACTGTTTTGTATCAGTTTGATTGTTATTCATATTTTGTATGCAATAAAATATATAGTTTTTTTAATTGCATATAGTTCATTTTTGATATTTTATTTATTTTTTAACATCTTAATAGCTATTGCTTACAGTTTTTTATGTTGCCTTTTTTCCTAGTTCATTATTGTAATTGAGTGTAGTTAGTTAACAAAAACACTTTTGTTTGTATATTTAATAAGAACTGTACATATTTACAAGAAGAAAAATAAAGATTAACAATAATTTATTGGGTAGTAAAAATGTTTTTCAAATAAATAAATAATTTATAAACATAAGTATCTTCCATTTTTGGTTTAAATGGACAATTCGTTGGATCAATCTTGACTCAGAATCGGCCACCCCAACACATCATTGTGTTGTCATTAACCAAAACTCAACGTTTTGACATTCTCAAACACAATATTAGCCAGTGTCATCAAATAAAGAAACATATACATCTTGATACATTTCAGTTCATACATATCCTGAATTAACGTACGTTAAACAGCCCTTATTTTACTTCAAGGCACTTTGTACAGTCTCTAAACCAACAGACAGTCTTTATGAAGCCAGATTTCGACTGGCCACCCTCATTTCTAGCCCATACAGACACATGCAGCGGCAGAGAGCTTCTCCACTTTGTGCCAGCGATGGTGGTTGTCGAGAAAGGCTATGTCTTCGTGGTGTGTGGGGCGACAGCAGGGCTGATGGTGCCAATGGCCGGAGTATTGAAGGACGCCGCTTTGCAGGAGGTTGGTGAGTGTGAGGTCGTGGTTGGAGGCGAGGCGAGGACAGGTCCCGCTGCAGTACTTAAACAGCACTGTCTCATCTGAGTCGTAGCCAAGACCGAGGTCTCGCACCTGCAGTAGGATGGAGTGCAAGGCGCAAGGGGACTCAACGCTGCGGGGCAACCGAATCGCCCTTTCCAACTGCCTCCCCGAACCCTCCTTTTCCTCACCATCACCTCTTCGTTCTTCACCACAGAGGTCTTTGTCTGAAAAAGAATAAGCAAAAAATAAAGACAATTTTGCATTCTCTGCTTGTGCCAAATAATGTTGTGAAAGGTTGCCAGAACATTGATACATGGTTGCTAATATGTTTTTTTTTTTATCGCATCGATATGTGGTTGCTTACTGGCTCAAATCATGAGTCCTCATTTAAGTGTTTTTATTGCATTTTTTAGTAGAAATTGCTCGCCAGTTTTATCGTCTGCCAGCCAAAAATAATCTGATAACTTAGAAAAGTAGAAGCACAACTTTTTCCAGCAAAGTCACATGATTTGAGGAATGAATTTATATTAGTAGCACTCAAGAAGATATTTTGAAGAATATTTAACTGCTTTTGTCCACACAATGGAAGTCAGTTGAGTCCAATATTGTTTGGAGTGGACCCCAGTGACTTCCATTGTACGGGCAAAAAACCTGCCAAAACATTTTTCTAAATATCTTTTGTGTTCTACCCAAGAAAAAAAAAATCCAGATTTGAAATGTCAATAGTGACCCTATAACAAATCTACAGAGATTTAGTCGCCCTCTCCCCAAAGGTCATGACCCCCAGTCTTACCCAGTAGTGTTCTAAGCCAGTGTCCTTCTCCGGCTTGAACGCAAAAGAGCAGAACGGTGATCTTCAGTAATGAACGCATTGTTCTTCTTTTCTTTGCCTGGTTTTTCTTTTTCAGGATGGGAGCGCAGGTGATGCTGAGATGCGCCAGAGTCACCGTCTCTTTTATAGCCATCTAAGCAGGTCAGAGCTGTTGGGGCGGAGGGGATGATGGGGTGCGGCCAGGATGGGAGGGAGGCGGAATAACCCTTCCGCTCCCAGTCTCTCACCTGGCCTCATGGCTATGATTGGAGGCAACTTTATATAATTTTTGGGAAGTCCACTGGTATTTCTCCAAGTCTTGAGGGGCTGAGAGTATGGAAAATGGGGGTAAATTGCTTAAAGCTGTGGGACGTCTGACAAGGGTAGTCATCTTGGAGGTTGAGCCGATTAAGCACATGGAATTGGAATTTTTTACACACATTTAATACAATACGATGAACACCGAAAAGCAAGGGTTAACTGCATGAAGGATGGAAGGAAGGTCCATAATTAAAAAGAACTAAATAAGATGACAGAAGTTATTTGAATGGAAATTCCAAGAATAATGGCTGTCTTCAGATACATAAATTTGGGGATTTTATTAAAATGTGATTTTTTTTTTCGCTATCTACATTCCTTATTTAACTATGAAGACATGAATCCTGCAGCGCTGGAGGAATAAGTGAATGTGCATGGCTTGCATTGATAACTCGTCTTAGCCATCTTTTGCTATTTGAGTGAAGGGTTTTGTACAACAGACCCCAAATGTATTTGAACCCTTAAATACAGATTCGTTCCATTAGGTAGCAAATATCAAACCAATCTGTGTTTGCAAACAACAGTTACTTACAGTTACAAAATTAACTTAGTTACTTTCAAACAATGGACCCATTGTGATATTTAGTGGATGTTTGAATATGGAGATATTATTATTATTATTTTTTTGCCTGAACCAATTAATCTTCTTTTTGTGAAATATACTTTAAAGTCACTTTAAAGTCTGTCTGTATTATTCTTTTGAAAAAGTGGGTTTGGGTTGGATATTTTGATTTTGATATTTCTTACACAATAGCATTCAAACATTTTTGTGTCTCTCAAGTGTCCAAGTAGTTTTTGGGGCCACTGTAAGAGGATCTTACAATTTTAAAATATAAAGGGTGCATTTATTTAAAATGTATTTAAAACAAAGAATGTCTCTTGGTGTTGATAAACTGCATTACGGCATCTGAAGCAAAATTAATATAGACCCTCAAAAAGATAACAGCGTTGACTTTTTACAGTTTTCAGTTAGATATTACCTGATTTGTTCTAACCATGATGATACTCCCAAGTTTATTGTATAAAAAAGAATTTAATACTGACATAAATAGAAATGTCTTAATTTAAAAATCATGGCAACAGGGTTGACATTGTAAGCTTTGTAAGTCATTGGAGCCATTTACTTGCCTTTACAGAGTTCACTTCCTAAAAGGCTGCTGTAAGTTTGGCAGAATTATTGTAATAAAAAAAGTTATGATGCTAACAGGGTTGACAGTTTTACAGTTCAGTTAGACATTACTTGCTAAACATTACTTGCATGTTAGACATTATTTGCTAAACATTATAATACTTCAGGGTTCTTAATAGGAGAATTTTATACTGACAAAATAAATGTTACATTTTTAGTAATCATTTACTATTTCAAATCATGGTAACAGGGTTGACATTCTACATTTGTCTTCTATTGGTAAAACAGGAGGCATTTACTTGACTTTGCAGTGTTTAGTTCCTGAAAGTATGGCGATGTCATTTTGAAAGAATTATTGTAATAAAAGTTTATGATGGTAATAGGGTTGACTGTTTTATATTTCAATTAGTCATTACCTGCTTCTTTCCTAACCACGATGACACTCTAGGGTTCTTAGTAGGAGAATTTAATACTGGCAAAACTGAAAACTCTTATTTTTCATAATCATTTACTATTTAAAAATATGGTAACAGGGTTGACATTCTAAGCTTGTCCCCTATTAAAAACAGAAGACATTTATGTGACATTAATTTGAGTTTACTTTCTGGAAACATGTTGTAATTTTGACAGAGTTATTGTAATAAAAGGGAGTTAGAATGGTAACAGGGTCGACAAATTTTATATATTTTCTAACTGAATTCCACCATTTGTATATTTTCTTTCTTTACTGTAATTGTTTCACTGTTCTATGCACTTCTGTCTGTCCAATGCTCAAAACACTAATGGAACTTTAACTACCCAGTGGACATATTTTATTGAGTTTATAAGTATAAAAAGATAAATTAACAAGGCTTTACTAGAAAGCCAGGCCTTTCCTTTCCTTCAGGTATAATGTAATGCAAAATATAGTTTGGTTTCATAAAATATTCCCAAATCTTTCAGGACAATGCCCATTCTTATTCAATGCAGTTATTTTCAAGTAGAATACCTAAGAGCTGGGATTGTGTGCAGTTGAAATGTTTTCCAGTCAGACATCCATCAATATTAAAATATGATCAATGGAAAAGGATTTCAGCCAATCGTCAGGCGGTTAAAACCTGACACAACACCATAAAACAGTCTATTTTAAGGGAAACTTACATAGCAATCTCTTCTCAGCTAGAGTCTGTCTTTATTTATAACTCTTTTTAACTCATCCATCATGACAAAGATTACAGTTAGATCAGTTTCCACTGGTGCTGCTGCCATGCTGTTGGCTCAAAGCTCCATACAAGCTTGTTAAAACTAGATGTCTTCATCCAGACCAGAGTAAAGTTAGAGTGTCTGTCCCCAGGTAAGAGTGAATTAAATCTGTAAGAGGGAATGGATCTGGAATAGAATAGCTATTTGTCTCGCCAGTGAAATAAACGTATGATTAATTTATTTTTGATACTGTTTATTATTCATTCCGTACTCTCGTTTGTCCTCCCATAGATATGTATGATTCAGTCCTTGCATAAAGCTGGAAAAGATGATGATGAAGAAGTGAAAGTAAGAAGGATCTGCATGGCAATTTTTAATAATTGGGGTACAAAATTGAGGCCGAAAAAATTATCTTTTTTCATTTTAATCTTAGTCCAAATTAAAGAAAGAAAATGATTTTTTTTTTAATGACTATGGAAACAGGGTTGAACTTTACAAATGCAGTCAACACTACAATTTGCATAAAAATTGGATTGATTTTTACTTCTTTTCCTGCTTGTCTTGTCTAAATGATGTCACTGCTGGGATGTCACAGTTTTAAAGATTAATTTTGTAATGAGAGAAAAAAATGCAGTAACAGATTGGAATGCAAAAGATGAAATGTTACGTTTTTTTGATAATTAAAATGATATAATAATTAAACCATTCAATGTAATTTAGCATTAGATCAAAATAATAACATTTTAATAACAATTTTAGTTTCCCAACAATTCCATGGCAATTCGTAACTTTTACATTTTGGCAAATTAGTGGTTAAATTGTTTTAATTCATTCATCTCATTCGTATGGTTTTGTACAGTCTGTTTACACCCCCACTGACTTATGTTTGAGGGTGGACCTTCATGCTTACACTTTTTCTAAATTTGTATATATCAGCACCTCATAAAACAGTTATGTTTTCTAGATTTGATTGGACCTCACCAATTTTGGGAGGGGGTGTGGTGGTGGCAGGGAATACAGACATTTGATGTATTTAAAAGTAACTACTTTTTGTTAGGCTACTTTTCTTTTTTTTTTCATATCTAATAGGTTTCACGAAAAACATGGTATTTGGGCACCAAAGTGTAGCATATTTGTGGAAGTACAGTGGGGGATACGGCAACCCTTCTGGCATGTCCTGACAGAGCCTCTTAGGAATCCGAGGCCGTCTGAGTCAGGCAGGAATCTCATATCAAAGTCACAGAGTGGAAAAACAGTCTTACTCACACACTGTAAAACACACGGTGACATGGAAGGGAGGTGTGGACTCACGGCCCATCAGACGGAAAGAGGGGAAAAGAGCTTTGTCTGTCTGGTACAAATCACAAGAGCTCACCTATGCATGCACTCATGGATTTAGTCTTAAAAAAAAGTTCAGTCTCGCCATTCCTCTTACTTTGTCTTCTGATAAGAAAATTCTTAGGGCAAAAAACACATATTAATGAACAGGGTTATATAGATCAGTGGTTCCCAACCCTGGTCCTGGAGGCACCCCAACACATTTTGCATGTCTCCTTTCTCTGACACACCAATTTCAGGTCTTGGAGTCTCTACTAATGAGCTGATGATCGGAATCAGGTGTGTTTGATTAAGGAGACATGCAAAACATGCAGTGTTGGGGTGCCTCCAGGACCAGGGTTGGGAACCACTGATATAGATAACTACAACCATTAACAAATACATTAAATTAAATTGAAACCATAAAAACACATTTTCATTAGGCTACTTGAAATTAAATAAATGTTAACTGAAATAAAAAAAAAAAATTCCAGCTAGTTGTCAAGGAAATATATATTTCTCATTTTAAATATATAGTAAATAACTAAAATAGTTAGCTAAAATAACTAAAACTGAAATGAAAATTCATAAAAACCATATAGAAAATATATATAGAAAAACAAAAACTACTAAAAATGACAAAAACGACAACAAAATCACTAAAACTTTTAACCAAAATTACAATGGATATGGAAACACAACAATGATTCAAAATATTAATAAGTGATATTAAATTATCTCAATGATACTAAAACAAACCAATGTGGGGTTTAAATGAGTCTAAGTTTAAATTATTACAGTAAAACGGTCATTTGCAACATTAATTTTAGAAGCGTACTGTAAATATGTGTGGAAAAAATCATTGACATAATATCGAAATGGTTTATGATTATGTGACACTTATTCGTGGCATTTTCATATTGTAAGATTGAAAGTCCACTAAAAAAAATCCTGGCAAAAGTAATTTAGTCTTTTAATTTTTTTTTTTTGTATTAAAAAAATCAATTAATTAAAGCTCAATTAATACCAAATCAAATATATTTGTTTTGCCATTTACCAAACTGATGTTTTGAATGTTCATACAATAATGTAACGAAATACCTCACTTTTATTCTGAATTCATAAAATATACATAATTCAAACATTACTCAAGACAGTTTGATGGAAATGTGTCATACAACTGAAAAGTGTAAATCCTAAAAACACTGAAATATTTGTTTGAATGAAGGGTATATGTAAAATAAATAAATTCAGATTTTATTCAGAATGGGACATAAATGTTAGTTCAGAATAAAAGTTTATTATTGTATGATTTTTTTATTATCAAAATTAATTAAAAATTTCAGTTTTTTTTATTAATTTTTATAAATTACATTAGCAAAATCTGCACTTAAAACCACACATTTTCTCATATGCGCCTGGTGGTTTACAGACAAATTTTTACAAACAGAATAATATGTGTATCTGCTCAGGACAGGTGAGAAGTGTGTTTGTTCGGGGTCATTCCTCAGGGGTGTT